CGGCTGGTGATGAAACGTTTGCAAAATAAATTGCCTAGCTCGGTGAACAGACGAAATGGAGAAGGATATCATATGATGAAAGTAAAAATAACTGGCTAAAGCAATTATTTTACGCAGTTTCCTGGTTCAATACGTTTCACTTAGTACGAATGACATCTCGCGTGACATGTTGGGGCTGGTAAATCCAATCAAATTCTCACGAAGAACCATGCACGTAAGATACGTGTAAGACAATTTTATCAGCCCAATTTAATGGAATTGTAATCCGCGGTAGCCTCCGATATGGACTCAGAACTACTCTTCGATCCCGATATTTCAGTCCCCTGCAAGAAAATCACCAATTATCTCAACTGTTGTTACGGTGTGAACTGACCTTGAGGAAGAATTCGTTTACAGCCTAACGGCTTCATCTCCGATAGACTGAAATGTTTACGTAGGCTGAAAGAGAGGATGTATCGCTCAAAAGATAAAATGACTGTCAAATTTGTCAACTTCCATATCAGAAGCGAGATAGCTCATCTCAATCGTTTTGTATGTTGACACCGTGCTAGTAAACAAATCCTGCCGTCAGCCATGGAACGGACTCAAGTTGGTCTGCGGTCGTTGAACTGTATCTACTGCAGACTCACGTGACATTACTGAGCTCACTAGGTCTTTTGTCTCGGTGAACAACGTTGTGCAAGCATTACCGAGACCAGGTATAACGTCACGTGATTTCCATTTTCCTGTGACTGTTGCAACAGAATAAGCTATAAAGAAGTTGAACACTGTCAACAGAAATAAATCCTCTGGTCCTAATGGGTTATCCCCAGTGTTCTTAAAATCATGTACAAACCAGCTAGCACAAATCGGTTAATTCATCTTTAATACAGGTCTGTCAGAAGGAATACTAATTAATACATGGTGTGATGTTCGCAGCACTCCAGTACCTAAGCAAAGGGTAAGTTTAGGCCTGTTGCCTAATCTTCAGTATTACTTGAGACATTTGAGCGAATTATTATTAGGCATGTATCCTCTAATATTGATTTTTCTGCTTCCAGTCAGTCCGCTTATTGTAATCATCGCTCTACTTTAGATGCGGTTGCATGTCTTATGCACTCTATTTTATCCACTTATGATGACCATGTAATGAGTGTTTGTTGCTTGTGATATATATTTTCATGATTTTCTGAATAAAATTAACTGTATCCGTAGCTCTTCTTGGTTCTACCTGACTTTGTGCTATTCAGTGGGTTCTCAGTCCAACTCCGAGTTCGCGCTATTCGATTTCCATTCCTATTCCGAATACTACACTGAACGGGCCAAATTCGACTCAATGATCAGAGCTGCCAACATGCCGTGCCGTGAGTTCATTCTTCAGTTGAACAAACAGGCGTCAAAATGCAACTATGGTGACCGATTGGAAGAACAACTTTGTGACCGTCTCATTGCTGGAATCAACATCTCATTATAACGTAAGATGTTGGAAAAGAAAGATATCACATTTGCTGAGGTTCGAAAAATCTGTGAGCAAAGTGACGATTTGTGTGCTGCCACAAATGCGGATACTCCTGTGTTATTCCATCGGCGATCAACGAAACCCTTACGCGACGCACCCAATGTTCATAATTCACCCCAGGTTCCTCAAGTACCCAGTTCAAACCAAACACAACCGAAGGCTGCGACCAACCGCTGCTTTTCGTGTGGTGAATACCATTTTCGTTCGAATTGTCGGTTCCGTAATGCCACTTGCCATGCATACGGTAATATGGGCCATATTCGCAAGGTGTGCCGAATGCCCAAGTGCAACCTCGTCAATTCCCATATCCCAACGGCAGATGAGAACTCAAGCCCAATCTACACGCTGCAAACCACCGAACCCAACAGCCGGTTTGTGTTCGCCCCACTGAGGTTCGAGTTTGGTGTGGAGCATCGATTCATCATGGACACAGGAAGCAGCGAATCTATCCGACCGAAATCAGCACTCATTGCAATTTGTCCCAATGCTGTTCTAGCCCCGAATTCAGTGCGCATCCATGGGGTTACCGGCCATCAATTGCAATTACTTGGCGTTCAATCTGAGTCCGGTGTGTCAATCCCGACCCAGTTCCTGGAATTAGCTCACAGACCGTCCATTCTGGGCCTGCGAGCAATGCGGCTACTACAAGGGTCAATCACAGTACATATGAACAACGAGAAGCCAGTCACTTCACATCTTCGATATCTGATTGTACAATGTTCCGGTACCGTTGGTGGCATGAAGGTACCATCGGTAAAGTGGGAAGTGGATGTTGAACCTGTTTTTCTAAAACGACGCGTTCTCGCATAAGGTAAACGGGGAGGTGTCTTGAAAGCATTACAAAAAATGGAACAGACTGGTGTGATAAGCAAAGTTGAATCCAGTGCCTGGGCTACCCCGCTCGTCGTGGCGATGAAAAGTGATGCTGGGACACCACAGATCTGTGCAGACTATCGACTGACTTTGAATCCCAGATAGTGGAGATGTGCAGCGAACACCATGGAACCAGAGGATTTCATGAAGTCATTGCATGGGTGCCAGTATTTTTCCAGATCGATTTGAGATTCCACTCGACGTCGAATCTCACTACTTGACAACAATCAACACGCCTTGGGGAATGTATCAGTACAATTTTCTCCCATTCGGATTGCATGTGTCGTCTGGCCCCTTTCAATCGGCAATAGACAGTGTAATCAAAGGACTCGACGGTTGGCTTGCATATCCAGTTGACGTCATCATTTTCGGCCTTAATAAGAAAAAACACTATGTCCGTCTGACGCAGCTACTGGAACGATTTGCCGCCAGGAACGTGGCTATCAAGCCATCCAACTGTGTGTTTGGAGTGAGTGAGTTGGAGTTTCTAGGATTCACATTTGATTCNCGTCCCGATTCGACACGTTTCAAACCATTGAATAACATCGAATCTCCAAAGGATCAAACGCATTTGAGATCCATGATGGGATGCCTACAGTACTATTTCCGATTTATCCCAAACTTTGCCACAAGGGCGCAGCCGCTTTTCCGTGCTCAGTGTTCAGACGCTTGGGAATGGTCGGTGGAGTGTGAAGATATCTTACGTGATTTAATTCGCTGCGTTACTGATCGTCCTGTTTTGGCCCCGTTTTCACCATCAAACCTACTATGCTCATCACCGATGCGTTCGACGTCGGAATTGGTGCTGTATTAAAACAAGAAGGATGCCCAGTGATCTGCATTTTACGTCTAGTCAATTCGGCAGAAAAGGGATACTCGCAGACTCAAAAGGAATCGTTGACTGTATTTTGGGTTGTTTGACGATTGCACAAGTACCTTTTCGGATTGCAGTTTACCACCATCACTGATCACCAAGCGCTACAGTCCTTGTTCAACCTCAACAAATCCATCGCGAAGTCCACTGCTGCTATGCTACAGTGGTGTAGCATCGCCTTCGTAGACTCAGAAAGAAGCTCTGGTGGTGTTTTGGGCTGTCCCGAGACTGCACAAGTATTTATTTGGACTGAAATTTACTATTGTGACGAATCATCAGGTGCTATAATTCTTATTCAACCCCAACAAGTCTACCGCTAAGGCAACAGCCGCCATGATTCAACGATGAGGTATTGCACTGGCAGCTTACGATTATGATGTTATACATCGGCCAGGCAAGACTATTCCACAGGCAAACTTCCTATCCAGGTACTCAGGCTTTGGCGCCGCAGAGAAATGCAATTTTGTCCATCGGGAGGAGTTGGCTGTGCAATTAGACAGTGTTCTCTGCCGCGGTAACCGACTGATTATACCTCCACCACTCCAAAAAGCAGTCTTAGAGGACCTCTACAAAGGCCATTTGGGAGTGGAGAAGATGATATCTCTGGCTCGACAAATGTGTTGGCGGCCTGATTTGGATGCAGACATTTGCAAAACTGCGAAGAATTGCGAGGCGTGTCTGCACGAAGTAAAGGCGAAACCGAAAAGCTGGACTCTATGGTCAGGAAGTTATGCACCATGGCAACGAGTACATGCGGACTTCAGCGGCCCATTTCTGAATAGATACTATGCCGTGGTTCTCATTGATTTCTATTCAAAGTGGCCCGATGTATTTCTGATAAGTATGCTAATAACATTCTTCGTGATCCAGGCTTTCCGAAAGTGCTTCAGTCGGGAAGGTATACCGCAAGTGCTCGTCACAAACAATGGATCTCAATTCAGTGCCACGGAGATGAAAGCTTGGCTCGAAAGCATTGGATGTTGAAATTTACGTACAGCCCCAAGACATCCCTGTACGAATGGTCAGGCTGAGAATCTTGTGAAAACAGTTAAGAGTGCACTAGCATCCGCGAATCCGAAATCACTTGCGGACGTGGATGCGTTTCTGGACAACTTCTTACTGCAATGCCCAAACGCAACACATACGACTACCAATGAAAGTCCGGCAAAGCTATTTAAGTCACGGTGTCTGAGGTCTTCTCTGAGATGTATGGTTTCCACCGATGTGACATACTTCAGGGGCAACGATCTGCTCCCGGTTCGTGATATCACCATTAGAAACTTGGGTCAGTCAATGGTGGAGATAACCGATTTGACAGATGCATCTGTCCACCGACGGCACATCGACCAGATACATTTCAGAGACGAACGAACTGTTGGTGCATCAGAACCCCATGAAAAAAAAGGATAAACCTGAAAATTCTGAACTGCCTGAATCGGACACTACGGTTCCCCAGTGTCGTGGTGTGGAACACGAAGATGCAGTAGAACCGGCGGAATCGAAAGCCTCGACCAACGCAACACTATGGAGATCACAACGAAAAGCAGCTATCGAATCCCTGAATCTACATTCACATCCGTCTGAGGTTGAAGAATGGGTCGAACGTTTCGAGCTCTGGTGCAGCCTACGGCAGAACGGAAAACAGGATCAATCCGTACTATTTCTCACGGTGGGTGGAAAGGAAATGTATTCTTTGCTGAAGAATCTCGCTTTCCCCGACAATCCGGCCAAGTTGCCATTTCCGATACTGAAACAACTGCTTCTTGCCCACGTGATTCCTGTTGATTTCCAAGCTACTGAGAGGGCAAAATTCAATTCGTTGGTTCGTGCCGAGTCAATGCCCTGTCGAGATTTCATCCTGTTGCTCAACAAACAGGCTTCCAAGTGTAACTATGGAGACAGACTGGAGGAGCAATTGTGTGATCGCCTTATTGCAGGCATTAACAATACGAATCTCCAGAGAAAGTTGCTGGAAAAGAAGGATCTAACATTTTCCGAGGCTAGGAGGATATGTGAGCAGCATGATGATCTCACTGCAGCAACAACCCGTGAGTCGTCTACGTTATTCCAGAGTAGTTCACGAAGCAATAAACCCGGGATGCAGTCCAAATCTCCTCATAATCAGACGACCAATTACTCTGACCAAAGGACCCCAACCACGAATATCAATCGGTGTATGTCGTGCGGTCAATTCCATCTGCGTTCCAACTGTCGATTCCGAGATGCAAAGTGTCATTCCTGTGGTAAAATTGGCCATATTCAGAAGGTATGCCGCCAAAGGAAATGCAATATGATGAGTACACCGTACTGTCAAGAAGAATTCAACCCAACTTAAAAATTAAGAACAATGGGCGAATACAGGCGGTTCATTTACAAGGATATTGGTTTTGAATCCGGAGTTCGATACAGTTTTATTGTGGATATTGGCAGTGGTTAGTCCATCATTTCACGTGTAGCCCTAAACATGTATGCACAAATGCCGCCATAAAACCGACCACAACACGAATCCATGGTGTAACTGGACACCTTCTTCCGCTATTGGGTGAGACAACCTTGTCGATTCATTCCCAGGATAACAATTTTGTGCCTATTTGATTCTTGGTGTCACAAAACAGTTCGTCTATTCTTGAATTGATGGCGATGAGGACGCTGGGGCATTCCTTATCCCTAAATACCAACGAACTGAAATCTGATACAACTGAGGAAATTCGAAAGCTGATAATCTGACGTACTAAGAATGCGGGAGGATTGAGCGTTCCTGAAGCCATTTCGGAGGTCGACGGTGAGCCAGTATTCCTGAAAAGGCGTGTCTTACCATACGGACAACGCGAAGGTGTGCTGAATGCGATCGACCGAATGGATAAGACTGAGTGACGTCATTAACATGAGCAACTCACATTGTTGTCGCGATGAAAAGTGATGGCAGAACTCCGAGGATATGTGGTGATTACCGATTGACAATCAATCCCTGATTGCGAAAATGTGCAGCGACGACCCTACACAATTGTCAGTTTTTCTCCTAAGTTCATCTGGCAGATGCCTACCTTCAAATTCCACTGTATCCAGATTCGCGGGCATTTACGACGATCAATACACCGTGGGGATTGTTCCAGTACAATTTCCTTCCGTTCAGTTTGCATGTATCATCCGGAATCTTTCAGTCCACAACAGACAATGTTTTGTCTGGGTTACGCGGTGTATATCAAGACGATGTGGTTGTGTTTGGAACAACGAAAGAAGTACACGATAACAGTTTGTAGAAACTTTTTGAGTGAGTCATGGAGATAAATGTGCGCATCAAACCATCTAAGTGCATGTTTGGAATGATGGAGTTGGAATTCCTGGGATTCACTGTTTGTTCCTAAGAATATAGACCGGACCTCAACCAATTCAACCCTCTAGTGAATATCAAATCCCCGAAAGATCAAAATTATCTACGATCAATTATGGGATACCTCTAATATTACTCACGATTTATTCCTAATTTCGCCCACTCCTTGTTTGTTGCGCAATCCGCAGCGGACTGCAAATGGACCGTGGGCTGCGAAAGAATCCTTCACGAATTGATACGGAACTTCACTGATTTTCCACTGCTGGTATCATTTTCCCCATTAAAATCGATTACACCGGTGACAGGTGCGTTCGAGGTGGGCATTGTTGCCATGTTGGAGCAAGAAGAGCTTCCTGTGGTTTGCATTTCCCGATTATTAATTTATTTTAATTTATTTTTTAGTTTTTGTACTTTTTATAATCAATGCCCGGTGACCACAGCCGCCACAACTGGGAAGGTGTGCGTGGCTCGTATACCTTATGGTGGGTTTTGAATCAGGGTTTTTGGCCAAGTCCCCTACCAGGTCCACCAACCAGGTTATAGCCCCGGATATCGACTTTTCGTCCTCTCAGTTTGGTGAAAAAGACATCCGACACGAGAATGCAGTGAGCAGGGCTTCCTCAGCAGAGACGCTTAGTAGTAAGGCAGCATTTCGCGAGATGCAAAGGAAGAGTGACCAGCCGCAACCGTTGGCAGCCACCCCGACCATACTGAGGCTTTCGGACTGAGAGAGAGAGAGATTAAAACAAACACCAATAAAGCTTGCCAAAACATGTCTCTAGTTATATGATTCACAGCAGTCTTATTGATTGTTTGCAGTTGTGAAAATCACTCGCCTCTTTTTTACTGTTAATTAAAATTGAACTAATGCCTCAATACAAAATTCGGCTTTTGCTCACTGCTACAGTCCACTCACCCACCCCACCTGGCCCCTCTGCCACCGACTTTGTCCTAACCTTTTCGTCCGTACAATTTCTACCAGATGGAACACAAGCTGGTGGAACCAGATGCCATAACCTCTGTCATTCTGTCAGATCGGTTTGTCGTGCGCGCGCTTTGTGTGCGACATATCACGCCATCGAACCGGATTGATTTCACCGTCCGAAATGTGTTTACCGCCAAGAGGCGGGTAAATTCGCTGCGTTGTAATCTGAATAAAAGGATTCACGTCAAATGGGTTTCACTTTTTTCGTGGAAGAGGGTTGGGGGGGGGACGAATAATGGTTGTGATGATAAGGTCTATAACCAGGGGGTTGCAATCCGCCGGTTAGATGCAATTCACCGAAAGCGGATGTATAAACGTACAAAAAAGGGTGAAAACTGTGTAAACGTTCCGGGAGCTGTTATCATGACGTTATTTTTAGTACAAGCAAAACAAGGTGACAGTTAGTGTTTTGTCCCGGACAATTAATTTCATGCGTGTACTCCGAACAGGTTGTGATACCACTCCACTGTCGAAATCATTCATGCACACGGATCTATTCGGCCAGAAATGTTACGAACCCCCGAATTCCGCCAGGCGAATGCACGAGTCCACCAATACCACCAATACTTTTGTCAGGGAGTAAAGCATGAGCCAGTGAAAACAGAAGTGCAAAGCAATCAGCTC